AGTCCAAGCCTTGTGAGGAGCAGTTGAAGGAGCTGGGAATGTTTAGCCTGGGGAAAAAGGAGACTGAGAGGAGATATGAGAGCTATCTTCAAATATCTCAAGGGCTGTCACATGAAAGGGGGAAGAAGCTTGTTTTCTCCTGTTCTGGAGGGTAGGACTCGAACCCACGCCTTCAATTTACAAGGTAGGAGATTCTGACTAAATATACAGAAAAAACTTTCTGACAGTAAGAATTGTTCTACAGTGGAACAGTCTTCCTTTGGAGGTTGTGGACTCTTCTTCCTTGGAGGTTCTTAAGCAGAGGTTGAATGGGCATCTGTCATGGATGCTTTAGTTTGGACAAGACAATTCTATGATTATTTGATCTTTATATACCGTATAAAAAGCTGTAGCATTCTTAAGAGGCTATTTGCTGCTTTTGCAGCACCAATGTGAGCTCCATGGGGCCCAAGCCTGGGCAATGTGTCTGGAGCTCCTGAGCTGCCCAGAGAAGACCCTCTTCTTGGCCTCCCTGAAGTCATCCAGAAGAAAGCAGACCAAGACATTAGACACAAACTAGGCTGCAAGAGTTGCAGGAAGGAGGCAAAGAAGGCACCATCCAACCGCCTTAGGGACTCCAGTATCGATTTGTGTAGGGTTAATTCCACAGCCTTTTCTTCATAAGGCAGTGGGTCCTGAGTTCTACCACTTCTGGAACAATTGTACTGGCTACCAATGAGGTACCAAGCAAAGTTCAAAACAAATAAATCATATTCTGATCATAAATGACTAATACTTTTTAATGCATGCTTTTTATGCAAATAGGCAAAAGTATGCCATTTCCCCTTCCAGAAATGCTTAATTGCTAATTCAATGGACTAAAAATCGATGATTGTTGTTGTTATTATCTATTAAATTTATACACTGCCCTTCATCAAAAGACCTGAAGACTGTTTAAAACATAGAACACATAAAAGGTAGAACAATTATGCACCACCTCCTATTCCTTTAGTCAGGTGACGGTCCTTCTTTTGAAGGAGGAAGTCAAACCTCCAGGATTACTAATAGCATTATTATTATTAAATTTATATACCACACTATATGCACAGGCCTCGGGGCAGTTCACAGAATAAAATCAGAATATAAAAACACAAAATACGGTAATCAAAATAAAAACAAAAACAAGTCAATAACCTCCCCAACACATTTCAGAAGGGCACTGGATGTCAATCAGCCAAAGGTCTGGTTCGAGAGGAATGTTTTCTCCTGGTGGCTAAATGTCAGGGACTGGGCAAAGAAGGAATGGTGGAGGCCGCCTCCCCAGCCTGACTCTTCCAGGGAGGAGGAGGAAGAAGACAGTTTACATTTACAACAGGGGTTTGAGTGAGGTCATAGCTCAGAGGCAGATGAGGGGGAAAGTTGGGAAATAATGGGAGAGGAGGAGGAGGAAGCAGCAGCAGGGTGGTGACAACTGACTGATACAATGTATTTAGAAAGCATCATTTAGACCCTCCATCTCCCAGAACTTGGTGAGCCTTGAAAGTAGGAGAGCAAAGAGCTCAAAGACAGATTCACTCGGGACAATGCCATTATCCAAAAGGCTGGGATCTAGAGCCTCTCTCTGTAAAAAATGAATGAAAAGAGGATGATAAGAAACATTCCTTTGTCTTTATTCGTTCCTGGGCAACCAGCCGGGAGTCGCTGACATCCGCCTGACACTACAGGTATATAATGAAGGCTCCAGGCACACCTCCCTGGAGAGACCATTCCATAGACAGGGAGCCACTGCAGAGAAGGCCCCGTTCTCATGTTGCCACCCTCTGGACTTCTCGAGGAGGTGGCATATGAAGAAGGGCCTCTTAGAGTTCAGGCAGCTTCCGATGTTCCTTTGGAGGCTTCATCAAAACGCCGCCAGATCAAAAGGGATAGAAATTCCTGCTCTATAATTATAGTGAACAAAGATTAGCAATGCATGCACACAGGCAGGAAGAGGAAGATCTGGGTCCTCCTAGGTTTCACGATACAGAGGGAAGGGAAAGCTAAGTGTAGTTGGACACACGCTATAGACTCCGAGAAGGCCAATTTCAAAAAGCTGAAGGGTGAGATCCCATGGTCAGAAATACTCCAAGAGAAGAGAGTCCAGGATGGATGGCAGTTTCCCCAAGGAGAAATATGAAAGGCATAAACGCAGACAATTTCAGCAACAAAGAAAAGTGGGAGGCATCTCAGGGGAGTCACAGAACCACTCTAGTCTGCCTTGGTCAGACCACACCTGGAATACAGTGGTACCTCGGGTTACATACGCTTCAGGTTACACACTCTGCTAACCCAGAAATAATGCTTCAGGTTAAGAACTTTGCTTCAGGATGAGAACAGAAATCTTGCTCTGGCCGCACAGCAGCAGCAGGAGGCCCCATTAGCTAAAGTGGTTCTTCAGGTTAAGAACAGTTTCAGGTTAAGAATGGACCTCCAGAACGAATTAAGTACTAGACCCGAGGTACCACTGTACTGTGTTCAGTTCTGGGTGCCACAATTTAAGTATCTTAAATGCAACTAAAAATCAACAGGGACATTTCATCTTCACTCCCAGGAGAGGCAGGAACAGCGTGTCATCATACTCCGCCCTCAGTTGAGATCTAGCTGAATGGGAGACATGAGAGACATCTCTCAATATCTATCTCAAGGGCTGTCCCATGGAGGATGGAGCCAGCTTGTTTTCTCCTCCTCCCCAGGGTAGGACCCAAACCCATAGCTTCAAGTGGCAAGAAAAAGGTTCTGACTCAACTGCTGGAAAATCTTTCTGAAGGTAAGAAGGTGGTGGAACTCTTCTTCCTTGGAGCTTCAGAGCAGAGGCCATCTGTCAGGGATGCTTTTGCAGATTCCTGCCCTGCAGGGGGTTGGACTAGATGACCCTAGGACCCCCTTCTATCCCTCCCATTCCTGGATTCTAGGATGAGGTTCCTTGCTTCCTGCAAACCCCTTTCCCCTGCAACCTCTTCCTCCAGTTTCTGGCCAAGGGAGGGAGCAGATCACAGACCAACCAAGAGCATCCCCTCCAGAAAAAGGATCTCTGTGATTCTGCAATGCAGGAGAGAAAAGGCAGAGAGGACTGAGCAGGGTGGACTCGGCTTTGCAAGGGTTAAAGGGAACTGAGCTGCATTCCTAGAGAGGACAGGAAGTAAAGGGGGGCCAGGTCCTCCAGACTGAGGAAAAGCCCTCCTCCCCTTCCTGCAGGGGGGGGGTTGCTTTCTGCTATTGCAAAGGCTGCCTTGCTCTCTTCCACGGGGATCTGGTGAGTGTCTTCTTCCTCCCCCAGAGGGTGCAGTGGGGAGAAGGTGGGGGTCCCAGGGCTGCAGCAGGGGAGGGTGGCTCATGTGTGTGGGGGGGAAGCCCCCGGGAGCAGGGGGTCCTGCCAGGGAGGGGCGAAATCGCACGAGGTCCGCAACTACAGTGCTGTGTATTCTGCATTTGTATAAAGACGCTGCTTACTCCTTTGGGAAGGGCAATCCTCTCCTGGGATCTGGTGAGTCTCCTCTCTCTCCCCCCCCCCCAGAGGTTGCAGTGGGGAGAAGGTGGGGGTCCCAGGGCTGCAGTAGGGGAGGGTGGCTCCTGCGGGGGGGGGGGTTAAAACGGCCCCACGTGCAATTTGGAAAAATCCATCTGTTGCAAAGCCAACCAACCCCCCCCCCCATGCAAAGCGCCTGCCTGCTGCTCTGCTTACTCTCCCCGGGAGGAACGCTCCGCCAAGGAAGTTTAGAGGCGGGCTGCGATTGGTCGGTTGCTTCCCTTGGGCGGTGCTGCTTTTGCTGCGATTGGTCGCTTGGCCGGTGGGAGGAGGGGGCTGCCCGGGTCATCCTGCACTCCAGCAGGATCTCTGAAGGCTCTGCGCAGCAGCGCCTGCCAAGTCGCAAGGCGTGCCAGGTCACTTACTCCCGAGTAAGCCCGCTTAAGGCTGAGCTAAAAGCATGTGGCGAAGAAGGTCAGGTGGTACCCGGTGCGGAAAATTTCTTGCCACCCTCCCCCTCCCGTTGATTTTTTTCATTTTATTTTTTGCCTGCAAAAATGGTTTTGTGTTATTTCATATTTTCTTACAAAGGAACGTCGATTCTCGGCCTCTGATAACAAGTAGGCGACTATGGACAGATACTTAAATATTTATCGTTTTTTATTTAATAAAATTTATTTTTAAAAACCTGCAAAGTAGTTTACCAAAACAAAAAAGCAAACAAAAAAACCCACAGCAGTAAAATCAAGAAAAATCAACAATCCTACTTTAAAACATACAAAAGCTAAAAAATTAAAACAGATTAAATTTACATCAACTTCCTATGCATCTACGTATGCTTGCCTTAAAGAAGAATGCTTTTAGCAGGTGCCCGAAAAGAGTCTAGCAAAGGCACGTTCTTTGTTGCAATAGGCGGGGAGTTCCAAAGTGCAGGTGCTGTCGCAGTAAACAATGCAGTACAGCTATTATGCGGAACCTGTAGTAGTGCTTGAAACTACTGAAGGGGAGGTTTCATTTATTGTGATTTCACCATGCTCTGTGTTATCTGAAAAGGAAAACATTTATTTAAAAAACAGGACTGCACAGCAGCAATCTAAGTCTCATCATGATCAGAGGGACTTATTCCCGAGCTGACGGTGCATAAGATGGGCTGCAATCCTTTGCACCCCTTGCATCCAACTTGTACCTAAAACTCTGCACAAGCCTGCACCAGAGAATTGTAGAGTTGGAAGGGACCCCTGAGGGTCATCTAGCCCAACCTCTGGGGCAATGCAGGAATCTCAACTAGACCATCCCTGACCGATGGCCATCAGTCTTCTGTTTTCCCCCTCAGCCAGGACACACAACTGGAGGTGGGAGGTGGGGGGAAAAATAAATTTTGACAATGGGGCAGATTTGTCAGCTTGAAGACTTTACACAGAGAGGAACCCCACAGGGGTTTCCCCACATGTAAGGTAACAGGCAGGGAGCCAGCTCAGATAGAGAAAAAGACATTGCGAGAGGACAGGACACAAGAGTGCCAAAGTCCGCCCATTTTATCCTCTTTGGGACCGTGGCTCCAGGGCTCTGGGACCACCCTCCCAAAATATTTACTTGTCTTCAATGTATTGTTACCACTGTTATTCTATAGTACAGATCCTTTTTAAATTAAAACACTTTCTCTAAAATCAAAATGGCAGAAGTAATCAGTAGCATAGATATCAAAGGAAAGGCAAGAGAATACAGTGGTACCTCGGATTAAGTACTTAATTCGTTCCGGAGGTCCGTTCTTAACCTGAAACTGTTCTTAACCTGAAGCATCCCTTTAGCTAATGGGGCCTCCTGCTGCCACTGCGCCGCCGCCGCACGATTTCTGTTCTCATGCTGAAGCAAAGTTCTTAACCTGAGGTACTATTTCTGGGTCTGTAACCTGAAGCGTATGTAACCCGAGGTACCACTGTAGTCCCTGATAGATACAAGGGAGACACAGATACACAAGCACACAGAAGTAAATAATCCAGCCTTGGGGAGAGGGATGGGAATGTACAGTTTGCTGTACTTAGCCTTGAGATGGGAGACTGAAAGGGCTTAAAAATAAATAAAAGTTTTGTGTCTAGGAATATTTTTCTGCAGAGAAACCAGAGTAGGACTACAAAAGGTTCTGTGGGGAGTAATTTAAGAAATATTGTAAAAACGGAGAGGGAGAAATGATTTGTTAGAAAAGGTAAAGGCAATATTAAGAATTGCAGGAGAAATAATCAAGACGGAAGGCTATCAGAGATGCTGAGGGAAGTCCAAACAAGGACATATGTATAATAATTTGTGTGGTATGTCTTAAAAAATTTGTATGCTAAAAATAAAAAAAAATATTATAAAAAAGTAATATTTTTCTGCAAAAGCATCAGACTGGTTGTCAAAAGTGTGAACTTCATTAATAGACCCTATTTAAAGGAATTGGTCAATTAGCCACAGAATAGGTTTGCTGATTTTTTTCTCATCTTCTTTCAATTCCACAACTGCTTTTGGGGGGTCCTAGCTTCATGAAGGGAAGACGGGGGGCAGAGGGAAGCTGGCGTGCCGAGTGCCCAGGGCAGCACTGAGCTGCTCCTCCTGGTGCCACGCGTGGACAAAACAGGGCGGCAGCGCTGCCATTGTCCCACACGCTCCACTTTTGGGGGCAGCAAAGGTTTTTCGGACCCAAAGGGGGCGCCCAGGACAGGCAGCGGTCTTGTCAGGCCTCCTCAGCAGCCCGGAAAGTCGGCCTAGGTGAAGAAAATGAGACTAGGCGAATTAGTTTCAGCCTTGCCTTGCCTTTGCCCCGCCCCCAACCCAGCTGGCCAATCGGCTGCGGGCAGGGGCGGGGCAAAGGTAAGGCAAGGCCTAATCTACTCAGCCTAGTCTCATTTTCTTCACACAGGCCGACTTTCCAGGACCCGGGAAGCCCAGCGGAGTACAGGGCAGCAGGATGGATCATAGAAAACTCTTTTGTGTGTGAAAATGCCTGCTCCAAAGGTGTTACTAAACTAGGGATTATGTAGCTATATCTGAAATTTCGTGCCTATCAGTTAATAGCTTGACCCTGCTCCACTGAATTGAAATTTCAGCCTTCACCACATGGGAAAACGGCCAAGTAAACAGCTGTTTTCGTGGAGGAGGGTCAAGATCTTAACTGATATGCATGGAATTTCATATATAGCTATATAATCTCTAGAGTAGTAAGATAAGACCTTTGGAGCAGGCATTTTAAAAAAAAAAAGTTTTTTATGAACCACCCTAGTAGGGCAGTAATTTTTCCTTGATAATTTGTCACACACACCCTCCATGATGGCACCAGGGGTGGCCTGCCCCTGCATGGCTCTCTTAATAAGGACTCACGGGGGGAGTTGAAGGCAGGCAAAGAGATTCACTTTTACTGTGTCCCGTCTTCTTGCTCCCTCCCAGTTAGGGAGAGAGCCTCCCTGCTCAGGTTTCTCAGCAGGCGGGCGTCGCAAGAGGTCTGACTGGAGCCCTGGCCGCTCGCTTGCGGGCAGGAACTCTGCGGGGCAAGTCCTGCGTGGAGAGGAGCGCAGACAGAGAGGAAAGGCGGCTGGAAGGGGCGGGAAAAGAGCCCTCGCTCGTGAAGTTTGTGCGTTTCTCCTCTGGGGGTATCTCGGTTGGGAAGGGGCGGCCAGGAGTGGGGCAGCAGGAGGCAACTCCAGGGCCGTGTATGTTAGGATATTTCCGTTCCACCTTAAAAGGGAGCAGGCTTTGTGAGTCACAGAGTCTGCGTATTTCCTGTTCACAGGAAGTTTATGTTTTGTCTTTGCTTTCGTTTCTCTCTCTGTGCCGAGACACTGAAGTTGGCAGTCATGTTTTCTTTGTTCTGACCAACGCTGAATAAACTTGTAAATAATACTCTCCTGTGTGCATCTTTCGCTGTGCATGATCTGCTGATAGAGCGTGCACCAGTTCTGGAATGTGGCAGGCTATTTCTGGAGCTCGTGTCACTAATTGCTGATACTGTATCTACGGGAGATTGATGGATCGTCCGGAGGCAACTTGTGGGGCCATGAAAGAGGGCTAAATTTGAAGACGTGTGAGGGCTGAGTAGGAGAGATATATTTTTTCTCACAACTAACATCTGAAATTCGCCCAAACATCCAAATGCACTCAGCAGGCAAAGCGTTCTCAAAGTCCCATCTGTTGTTGCAGATGCACTGCACTCTGGGCATCCAACTTTTTTTTCTCTGGCAGGTGACAGAACGGTGATGGCAAGACCTCTTCATCCATCTCTGAATGGGGACAGAATGGAAGCAGCGGCTGTGGAACCAGATCAGGTCAGGGGAAGCTGCCTTGTGGGGACAGAGGCCAAGGGGTGGAACAATGTCCAGGCTCAAGGAGTGGTGGTGAACAACAGTGTTGTTTCAGAGGATGACATTTCCCTTTTTCTTTTAGGGTCCAGTGTGCTTTGAAGATATTGCTGTTTGTTTCACGGATGAGGAGTGGGCGTTGCTGGATCCTGACCAGAGAGCTCTGCATAAGGAGGTCATGGAGGAGAATCGTGGGATCTTGGCCTCTCTTGGTAAGGCTCCTTGTGGGATCATAATATCTGTTTTTAAATTCAAAACGGCTCTCTATGTTGCACCTCATATATATTCACAGAACTCAACAGTGCCCCCTTAAAACATCTGGGATTACAATAGTCCCACAATAAACCTTGAACAGTAAATTACTTTTCTTCTGTGAATGTTCTTCCTCCACGTTCTTAAACAAGGATCAGCCTGGTCTGAACTGTTCAGGCCATTTTAACTGTAAACTTCAGAGTTGTTAGGGAAGTTGAAGTAGCTTCTGTCAGGTTTTCTTTTTGCTCCTGTCAGTCTTTGGTTGACCAAGGAGAAAACTTGCATTGGAAATGGAGGGGATTCCATGATTTAGCCAAGCAAAATCCATTCGAGGGAATAGCCGGGCTTTTTGCATCACAGGTTGCACTAAGGGTGTCAGTGGATCCCTGTTAATAAATGCACCCAACCCTTTAGTAAAACCATCGATCTAACCCACTTGTGTTATGTTGGGATTTTTTTTTGCCTACGTGCTATTTGATGCAGCTTCTCACAAAGCAATTAAGAAGTTGGCCGAAGGCCAAGAAGACTGAGCAGAAGGAGTTGTTCTGCCTACAGATATGGGGCCTTGGATACAGTTCTGCTATTGGTTGAGGTCTCTACTTAGGCATGATGACTCATGACCTTCCTTGGTTGGTTAGTTGGTTGAACAGTGTGTGTTCTGAGAGTCGTTTGGAGTTTGTTAAGTGAGAGAGTTAAGATCCGTATCCTGTACAGTGGTGCCTCGCAAGACGAAATTAATTCGTTCCGCAAGTTTTTTCTTCTTGCGAGTTTTTCGTCTTGCGAAGCACGGTTTCCCATAGGAATGCATTGAAAATCAATTAATGCGTTCCTAGGGAAACCGCTTGCCAGGCTGGCGGTGCGGAGAAGGGCTTTTCTCCCCACCGCCAACATTCAGAACAGCATTCTGAATGTTGGCGGTGGGAAGGAAAACCCTCCTCCCACCCCAAGTCTTCAGGAAAGCCATCTGAAGCCGGGCGGCGGGAGAAGGTGTCCCCGCCCCGCTGCCCGGCTTCGGAGCTTCGTTCCGATGCCGGGCAGCGGGAGAAGGCGTCCCCGCCCCGCCGCCCGGCTTCGGAGCTTCGTTCCGATGCCGGGCGGCGGGAGGAGGCGTCCCCGCCCCGCCGCCCGGCATCGGAGCTTCGTTCCGATGCCGGGCGGCGGGAGCAGGCGTTCCCGCCCCGCCGCCCGGCATCGGAGCTTCGTTCCGAAGCCGGGTGGCAGGAGGAGGTTCGAGGACAGTGGGGAAGACGCGCTGCGCTTCCCCGCTGTCCCGGAGACTTCCCTATGGGCTTTCGTCTTGCGAAGCAAGCCCATAGGGAAATTCGTTTTGCGAAGCGCCTACAAAACGGAAAACCCTTTCGTGTAGCGGGTTTTCCGTCTTGCGAGGCGTTCGTCTTGCGGGGTACCACTGTATATAGTAACTTGTGAATCTGCTTTAATAATAAACACCTATAAGTAACCAAGTTACTGGTAGCATCCTGCTTCATCCTGTTCCTGCTTCATCCTACATGCCTGCAACTGATTGTTTCTGGAAGTCTGCATATGCACTGCTATATTCAACTTGATCTGGCTAAGATCCTGCAACAGGTTAAGGTTGCGAAACTTCAATATGTTATTCCTCTAATACCAGTGTTTACAAGTTCTAGATTCAGGTAGGTAGCCGTGTTGGTCTGACACAGTCGAAATATATTTTAAAAATTGTAAAGTAGCACCTTAGAGACTAATGAAGTTTGTTCTTCATATAAGCTTTTGTGTGAATGCACCATTAATTTCTCCCGGATGCTATAATCCATTTCTCTCATTGCAGATAGTGATGGACTGAAAATGAAGAACGAGGGTGACCATGACAAAATCCCCACAATGGAGCCGTATAAATATATTGAAAGTGGGAAAAGTTCCCATTCCACTTCCCATCCAAGAAATCTCCCTGGGAAGAAACCATATCAGGGTGTGGAATGTGGAAAGAGCTTCTGTCAAAGTGACCATCTCACTTCCCATGAAATAATTCATACAGGGGAGAAACCCTATCAGTGTGTGGAATGTGGAAAGAGCTTCAATAAGAAGGACAGTCTCACTTCCCATCAAAGAATTCATACAGGGGAGAAACCCTATCAGTGTGTGGAATGTGGAAAGAGCTTTAGTAAGAGCAAGCATCTCACTTCCCATCAAATAATTCATACAGGGGAGAGACCGTATCAGTGTGTTGAATGTGGAAAGAACTTCCGTCGGAGCACCGATCTCATTTCCCATCAAAGAATTCATACAGAGGAGAAACCCTATCAGTGTGTGGAATGTGGAAAGAGATTCCGTTGGAGCACTGATCTCACTACCCATCAAAGAATTCATACAGGGGAGAAACCCTATCAATGTGTGGAATGTGGAAAGAGCTTCAGTAGGAGCTCCTCTCTCACTGTCCATCAAAGAATTCATACAGGGGAGAAACCCTATCAGTGTGTGGAATGTGGAAAGAGCTTCAGGTATATTTCCCATCTCTATACCCATCAAAGAATTCATACAGGGGAGAAACCCTATCAGTGCGTGGAATGTGGAAAGAGCTTCAGTCAGAGCGCCAGTCTCACTTCCCATCAAAGAATTCATACAGGGGAGAAACCCTATCAGTGTGTGGAATGTGGAAAGAGCTTCAGTCAGAGCTCTGATCTCACTTCCCATCAAATAATTCATACAGGTTAGAAACCCTATCAGTGTGTGGAATGTGGAAAGAGCTTCACTAATAGCTCCAATCTCACTTCCTATCAGATAATTCATACAGGGGAGAAACCATATAATTGCTTGGAATGTGGAAAGAGCGTCATTCACAGGGCCCATCTCACTTCCCATCAAAGAATTCATACGAAGTGTGGGAAAACACAGGTAGAACAGATTAACGCCATGTACTGGTAGGATGTGAAATCACATTCTGCCTTTAAGAAAAGAATAAAGTGACATTTATAGGGACAAATAAGGAACGTCAGATGTTAAAAATAAAAAGTTAAAACAAATAGAATATGGCTACAAAAAAAGAAGTGTTAACAGTGGTGATAACAACACAAGCTCAACAGAGAAGGTCCATGCAGGATCCTGAACCTATAATGTTAATTGCAGAAATGCTGGCTGAAATAAAGAGAGACTTAAAAGATAATTCAAAAAATTTAGACTGTATAGAAACTAAGATAGAGCAAAACATGAAATCAGTGGGAGTCTTGTTGGGCCAAATTAGTGACTTAGGGAAAATAGTCCAAGAGTTAAACATCAAGACAAAAGGCTTAGAAGGCACTTTGAAAAAAACCACAAACAGAGGTTAAAGAACTGAAGAGAGGCCAAGAGAAGACAAAGCTGTAAGCGGCAGAATTGAGTAAATTACAGGAAGTGACCTGGGACTCCATGGCGGTAATGGAAATGCATCAGAAGCAATTAAATTTGAAATTTGGGGGAACCCTTGAAACAAAGGGAGAGGATATTAGAAAATCATAGAAACACTCGCAAACTGGTTACAGATACATGAAGAAGTAATTTTTACAATTGACAAGCTCTACAGAATTAAATGGGGACGCAGGTGGCGCTGTGGGTAAAAGCCTCAGCGCCTAGGGCTTGCCGATCGAAAGGTCGGCAGTTCGAATCCCCGCGGCGGGGTGCGCTCCCGTTGTTCGGTCCCAGCGCCTGCCAACCTAGCAGTTCGAAAGCACCCTCGGGTGCAAGTAGATAAATAGGGACCGCTTACTAGCGGGAAGGTAAACGGCGTTTCCGTGTGCGGCTCTGGCTCACCAGAGCAGCGATGTCACGCTGGCCACGTGACCCGGAAGTGTCTCCGGACAGCGCTGGCCCCCGGCCTCTTGAGTGAGATGGGCGCACAACCCCAGAGTCTGTCAAGACTGGCCTGTACGGGCAGGGGTACCTTTACCTTTACCTTTACCTTTACAGAATTAAATCAAGCTTCACAAAAGCCAAAAAATGGCCAGGTGACTGTTTAGTGACTTTTAATTCAAGAGGAATGAAAGAGAAAATATTACAGGTGAATGTGAAAAAAAGATTACATTTTGGAGATGAAAATATACTTTTGAAGGAGATCCCAGTGAGATTGCTGGGGGAAAAGGAGCAGTTACAAATTCCTGGCTGATGCACTGAGAAACAATAAATGGGAATTACTGGAGGGAGTTTCATTTTCATATACAGTGGTACCTCGAATTACAAATGCTTAAGGTTACAAACTCTGCTAACCTGAAAGAGTTACCTTGAGTTGAGAACTTAGCCCCAGGATGAGAACAGAAATTGTTTGACGGCAGCGCGGCAGCAGCAAGAGGCCCCATTAGCGAAAGCAAGCCTTTAGTTAAGAACAGTTTCAATACTGGAATATAATTTATCTAAAACCCAGGGAAGTATAAGGAGATGGTATCTTAATATATGATTTTTAAATGAAAATGAAAAACATTTCAATATATAACCCAAGAAACACAAATATATTTTAAAAATAAATCTTCAACATCAAGACTGATGGAATGGGAAGGATATAAAACTTACATCAGAGGGAATATTATATCCTTCTCGGCTAACAAGGCCAAGCTGCAAAGATTAAAAGAAAATAATCTAAAAATTTCTTTAAAAACACTATGGGGCGATATGGCAAAAAACTCATCTAAGGTTACATATGAAAGAATACAACAACAAACATTAGAACTGAATAATATACTAGCTCAAACAATTGAGTTCAGACTACTAAGTCTAAGACAAATATATTGGGAACAGGGAGAAAGGCTGACAAAAATTTTAGCTAATCGTCTAAAACAAAAGAAAGTGAACCAAATAATACCTTTAAACAGAAATGAAAATAACATTGCAGCGACCTCTTCAATTGTTATCAATAATGAATTTTTTTAATTCTACAAA